GTATTTCTTTATCAGACTCAGAAAACTTCCGTTTTGTCCCAATAAAATCTAGAAACACCACCCCGAGAGAACGACACTCTCCATTTGAGTCGTTACCTGTGATCGTTCCTAGTAGTAAGCTACCTGTTTTTTCACCTTCCAAAAAGGTCTTGACCTTTTGGCCCTGAAACGGAACGCAACTGCTGTCACTTACATCATCGATACAAAGCAACATGGAATCACCCTGAACGGTTGCAGCTTTGCAAGCATTAAAACTAATACCATATCCCCTTTCTTCTTCAACAAGATCATGTTTTTTTCCAATCATGAAAAGATGCGATGAAGACGCCGCCACGTACGTCATAGAATCACTCTCCCCATCCTGCAAAGAAGCATAACAATTCTCACATCCTGTTACAACAGAAAGCCACTCAACACACTCTTGGCATAATTGAGATTTTCTGTCCCTTTCAAGTTTTACGTCCATCATTCGACTCACTTCCCATACGACTTTTGCGGCCTCCTCCACCTCAGTTGGAAGAAAACTATTTTTCCATCACGCGAGGTCGCAAAAACATAGGGTGCATAGCTCAATCCGGAAAGCATTATGGGCAGAAAAATTACGCCTTCATCTTTTTTTCTCCCGAGGTATCAAATAAAAAACATCTACCATCCGTTCGGCTATTTTCAATATATTCTACTCTCGAAGAATAATATTGTTCAAAGAAACGCGTCGAAGCACCATGGAGTCTCTCCGAAGAAACGGATAACGCGTTTTTTTCCATTATTGTTTTTCCCAAAAGATGAAACGTTTCACCCTTTTTAGGATCATCCAAATAACATCCATTTTGGCAAACAACCGTTGATTTCATCAGCTCCTTGTCGATTTTCATGACATAAGAAGTGTCGCCAGCAGCACCTAAAATAGAAGATGCACTGCGAATAAGTGAAATGATATCCTCCCCTTCAGGAGGAACAAAAACAATCCTCTTTTGCTCTAGAACAGGCACATTCAATTCCTCAACTACCGATGGTAGAACTTCCTCTACAGCAGTCAAAATTTGTGGCTTGTTCTCAGATAATGAAGCCTCCTGAATGCTATGACCATGCTTTATCCTTTCTCTTTCCGATCTGGCCTTGGCGCGACGTTCCTCTTCTCGTCTTTTTCTCTCAAGCATCTTAGCCTGTTCCTGACTTTCCCTTCTAAGTCTTTCAGCCTCCTCCAACGCTTTCTGCCGCTCTTCCTCCCTCCTTCTTTCTTCCTCAATGGCACGTTCTCGCTCTTCGGCAATTCTTTGTCTTTCTTCCTCTTCTTTCCGAAGTCTATCATTTAATTTCATCAAACAGAAGATTCGATGACAGTCCCCATGAAGAAAGAGTCCCTCAGACAATCCCTCTAATCCAGCCTCTTGAAACAACCTCAAACACTCTTCTTCCAGAGCAAGAATATTTTGTTCTCCAATAAACTTTTTACTCTGAAGAAGATCAAAGTCAACATACAAATTATGACGACAGACCGCCCTATCCGAGATAAGTTTTTCTTGGAAGGCCATCATGTGTGCTACGGCTGCTGCCGATTTTTCTTGCTTAGACCTTAACATCGCTTCCCTTGCGGCAATCTGTTCTTCACCTTCGGCATTTGCCTGATCTAAAAAACGGCGCTGCTCCACCCGCGCCTGTTCCTCATCCTCCCACGTCCGTGTAATCCACTTAACGTGCTCGTCCTCAACTTCACCATGCCTGCCTTTCCGCAACGCATAGGACTGCCATGTCTCGTTTAAAAGCACTTGGCGGTCATACACAGCCTCAGCGTAGTTCAACTCTTCAATGGTGGTTGTTGGTAGTCGATAAACATATTCAAATGGTCTGGCCTTGTCCATCTTCAGACAACTTCAGTGTTTGCGTAGAGGGAATAAACTACAATCAACAACAAAACAAAGAAAAAAAACAAGAAAACAAGAAAGCAGCCATTTTCATATATGAATAAAGAAAAAACATCGACCAAAACAAGCTCACCAAACGAAATTGGGTTGAATACAAGAAAATAAATAAATAATGCTAGAGTGCCAGAAATCCACTTCGAGATATATCATTATAAAAATGAGACAAAAAAAGGTAAAAAAACCTCCCATATAAACAAATCGGCGCAGAGGAACTAAAATCGGCTTAGACAGAATAAAAACAGTTGTCAAAAATAAATGAAATAAAACAAGGAAATCACGCGGTCGATAACAAAAAAGAAAGCAGCGATAATACAAGGAAAGATCCTTTTCAGGACCATCCCCCTACAAAACAACAAAAATAAATAAAACAAAAAAATAAGAGAATTCAACGTCCTAAATGGTAAGAATAGCAATAGGTTTAAAAAAACAGAAACAGACACTCAAGGATAACAGAAATATGCATCATCATCTCTCCTCCCTCACCACTCTTCGGTGGATTAAACACATCTACCAAAGAGAACTCAGATTCGACATCCAGAACCTCGCGCAACGTTGAAGTTGTCACTAATGATATATCCTCGGAAAGGCGATGAAACTACATGTGCAGAGGCAAAACAATTGAGATTGAACAAGAAGAAAAAACTGACGCCCAACAAATCAATTATCAGACGAGACACAGCCATAACACAATAAAAACAATACAAAAAAAAGGAGCAACATTCCACGAAACATCACCACACCGCCAACTTTCAAGGCATAGAGAGTCTAAAAAAAAGCAACGAGGAAAAAAAAAACGCTCCGACTTTCTCCCCTGCGTCTTCCAACAATCGCATGACGGAGGTGCCACGCTTCGCCTAAGCGCCGCCGTTCGCTCCGGCGCGCGCACGTGTCCTTCTTGCTATTCGCCCCGCACGTGTGTGTGAGACGAGTACAGCCAAACGCGGTCCTATATGCCACCACAGACACCCCTCACCGCCACGGAAAGCCCCGCGCCTGCGCCAAAGAGTAAACAAGATACAAACTACGCCTACGAGAGGCAGCACCACTTCACGCAGTGGCCCCGCCCGTGTCTTGCCGGCACGCGCGGCACCAAAGGCCCCCAACACGACGCCCGAAGAAAAACAACGCGACTACAGCACGGCTGCTCCCGCCTTCGCCGGCTGCGCCCCGTGCGGTCGAAGTCGCGTGGCAAAACGTCCCCTCGCGGAGTTCACGTGCTGGGCGCCCTGTGTGTTTGCGTCGTGGCGGGCACTGCGGCGGCGCCCCTCCTCCTCCTCCTCCTTGCGGGTGGGCGGCCGCCTCGTGTGCTCTGCCCCTTCTCGCCTGAGCAGATTGCGGCACAACATGCCACCGCAACGAGGCGGTGTCAGTTCCCCACCATGAGTGGGCGATGCCCGCGCGTAGCCGCACACACACACACACACACACACGCACCCAAAGAGTGACGGAGATGTGTGGTGGGGACGCGAAGTGGCGGCTGCAGTGACGAAGAGAAGAGCAGCATCGC